AGGAGAGGAGTGGAGAGGAGAGGAGAGGAGAGGAGAGAGCTTGTTCCCAGGCTCTGTGGGAATCCTTGCAGGGAAGGGAACTCGTTGGTTCTTTGCCAATAAACCACATGTCAGCCATGGGAGATGGGGAAGATGTCCAGATGCTGAGCAAGAAACTCTGCCGAAATCGTGAGATTCAGGTTCGTGAGAGCCTGGAACAGTGATATTCATGCACACCTCCACCCCAAAGTTATCCACCCCCAAGGTACAACCACCCCTCACTGGGCGTGAGCTCTGTGTTCTTTTAGACCGCATCTTTAAAAGTGAAGGGAGAGAATTTTACAGCCATCAGTAACAAAGATATGTCTGACTCAAGTTAGCCAACCAAACACAAAGAAATAGTGTAAAACTAAAATCAAGAATGAGAGAAAAGTTAGGGAAGGCTCCATGGTAACTGCAGGGATCAGTCAAGGGGCTGAACCTGTCTTGTCCCTGCAAGGATACCTGTTGGGTAAGAATTGTGCTTTTTGCACACTGATTGTTTTATGGGGGATTAGAGCCTGTCTCTGCATTCTTCTGAGTGCAATTTTACAGTCAGTTAAGCCAGTTTAGGAAACAAAAGACAAGATGGAGAATTTAGGGTGTTGTCTCTTCTTCCTTCTTCACCTTCTTCCTTCTTCATCTTCTTCCCCTCGAGGTTTTTGGGTAGTGGGAAGCGATGGGATAAAAATTGCCACAGTGCAGCACGCAGGAGTTGGGTCATTGGGTCCCTAAGAAAAATAATTTACTTGGCATTTGTTAATTGGGTATATAATATATAAAACATATATAACATATAAACATATATATATATAACATATATAACATATATAACATATAAAAGACCTTGACAAAGATCTTTGCTGGCCATTTTGCACCTTTCTGTCTTAGAGCACGTAGCTCCTTGTATCTTGTGTATATATATATATATATATTTGTATATATTTGTATATATATATATATATATATATATATATATATTTGTAATGTAATGTAGATAAGAGGAGAATAAACCACCAAGTCCAAACAAGAGAGAACTGCCTCTCTCTCACCAATCTCAGTCCGAGGGGGAAAAAGAACCCAGCCACCAGTGTCCCATCAGGACACCTCCCCTCTTCCCGTGGCAGTCACAACGGCCCCTTGGTTCTAAGCTGTTTCTTCGTGTCACGGTGTGTTGGGGAGGGTGAAACAGTGAAACCTTATGAATGTGATTGTGTGGCAGAAGATTGTGAAAATATGAAGGCTAGAATCGAAGTAGAAATGAAAGCTTGCTTTGAGTTATAGGATACCAAGTACTGGTTAAGCAAAGAACAATAGCCTAGCCAGCTAGAGGAGAATCCCTGCTGATAAAACAATGTCCTTCTGCTGACAGAAAGTCCAAAGGTCAAGAAGCAGAATCGCGGTGTCACGATGGGACCTCGGTTCCGTGAACTCCAGCAATGGCCTCTGCAGTGTCACCACGGTCCCCATGAGGCCCTGCTGAATCACAGCAGCCCCTTTCTTCCACAAGGGTCACAGCGAGTCCTTGGTTCCATGGGGGGGTGGTTTGGAGCTCCTGCACCCTCAGCAGCTGGAGGGACACCGTGCCGGACCAGCCAGGCCTCTCAGCTTGGTTCTGCTCCTCAGCAGGTGAGCAGGAGCTCAACAGCCAGCTCACCTGGGCAGTGGTGTCCTCTCCTCCAGGGACACACAGCACCACCTTCAGCTGGGAGCCCCCAGCTTCTTCCCCGTGCCGGGAGCCTCCGCTGCACCCTGAGGCCAGGGCTGCCTCCTGACAAGGAGACACCAGAAAATCTCCTGATCCCCTGCCCTCTCCTGGGTCTCAGCAGGAAATCTTGGACCAGAAGCAGGCAACCCCTCAAATTCCCATTTCTTGTCTCACGCACAGCTCTGGCCTCAGGCAGGGAAACTGCGCAGCAGCTCGCAAGAGCCTCGTTGTGCCGGTGAAAAAAATCGAATCCCATCTTTTCCTGGAAATATTCTTTATGACAAAATAGTGGCTGGCAGCTGGTGAGGAGCAGGACAGCTCCTGGCTGGTCCCTGCACAGCACTCCACGTCGTCCTGCTGGTGCTGTTGGTCTTGGGCCGGCTGCAGCGGGCACACCTGAGAGAGGCACAGAGCCCAGCTCAGGTGAGCCCACGCTTCAGGAGCGCTGTGTCCTTGCAGAAGGGCAAGGAAGAGGATCCCAGACTGCCCCTGACTGAGCTCAGGGCACTGACCCCTTCTCCTCCTGCCTCAACAGGAGGGCTGCTGCTCACCCAGGGCATTGAAGAACTTTTCTACTTGAGCTCCTTGGACGCCTGGCGCACAGAGAGGAAACTCTCCCTCTCCTGATGCCTACAGCGTCCCTTCCGGCTCCTCCGCCGATGCTCCACCTGCACACGGGGTGGGAGAGAGGGTCACATGCAGCAAAAGGACCTCTGGATGTCAAGGCAGGGGGATCCAGAGACCCTGAGTTGCACCAGAGAGCACTGGGGGTGTAAAGCACTCGCTGTGGGCTCCGGAGGAGAGTCGAGCATGTCTGGGGACACTGGGGCAGTGAGGGGGACACCAGAGTGAAGGAGCCTTTGTGAGGGCCATGGGGTGCCGAGAGAGAGAGAGAAAACACAAGTGTGTGCCCACAGTGGGGAGAAGAAAGGTGTCTCCCTGAAAATTAAACCTTCTGATAATGTTTTCATTGTTTTAGTTACTTTCCCATGAAAGTTCTACAAACAGAAGTTGTTCATCACGTTCCTTCTAAGGAACGCCTTTTGATGGATGTTTCGCATGGCCAGTGTGATTGGGAAGGTGGTGACTTAATTACCCAATCCCTGGTCATTGCTGAGAATCTATAAATACTGGAATCAGAGAATAAAAGCGCTGTTTTTTCTGTTCTGATGCTGAGAGGTGTTTGTGTGAATCATTTCCCGCTCTCTAGCGACAGGAAGGAAACAAGCAGAGCTCCCCAAAGTGCTGCCTGGGGAAATGAGGCTTTGCACGGGCAGCGAAATCCCATTTTACCTGCCCAAGATTCCTGCTGGGCTCAGCCTTGAGCTCCCTCCTCCCCGTCTTCTCTTCTGATGGTGCAATCAGACCGAGCACGCATTCCAGGCCCTTCTTGGCGTGCAGTGACAGCCACTTCCCTTCCTCTCCAGCAGCCTGGTGGGCATCCAGAGAGACGATTCCATTCTTTTAAAGCATCACAAAAGCCATTCTTTTAAAGCATCACAAAAGCTGTCCCTCAGATCCCCCCATCTCTGGAAGCATCCTCCAAGCACCAGAGAGGAGATGAATCCATTCTTTTAAAGCACCACAAAAGCTGTCCCTCAGATCCCCCCCATCTCTGGAAGCATCCTCCAAGCACCAGAGAGGAGATGATTCCATTCTTTTAAAGTATCACAAAAGCCATTCTTTTAAAGCACCACAAAAGCTGTCCCTCAGATCCCCCCATCTCTGGAAGCATCCTCCAAGCACCAGTGCAGCTGATGTTCAACCCTTGGTACAAAACTCTGCTCACTTTAGCCCATCACTGTAGTAGCTGATAGCTTGAGATGCATCTTTTCCCCTCTTCTGGTTGTGATTTCCCCCCTCCACGCTTCTTTTTCTCCTGTGGTTTACCCGGAGTCAGGTTACCACGGTTACCGAAGTTTTTTCTCCTCAGCTCCAGGCATGGAGTGGAGAGAGGGCCCTGCTGGCATTTCCAGAAGTTTCTTGAAGTTTCAGTAGCCGGGGAAAGCGCAGGGAGAGAGAGAGACCCTTCCCTCCAGAGCGTGAAAACTCGTCACTCTGTTTTTCCAGTCCCAGGGTTCCTCTGAGCTGTGGAAGCTGAGAGAGCATTCCTGCCTTCCCTTTCTTTCCCTCCTGCGTTTCCAGGAGAAACGTTTCCCCCCTCTCTCCCCCTCTGTGGAGGATATTCCTACACCTTTGTGGGCATTTGAAGAAGTTATTTATTTGTCTGTTATTTCCTTGTCTTAGTGAATGTAACCTTGATTTGTAGAAAGTTTGTGAAATGTACTAGCTGAGAAAAATAATTGTTTCTCTCTCTGATGTTCCCTCCCTCCGAAAAACCCCTGTTAAAATAAACCCCCAGACCCCAAATCCTTGGTCTCTCGTCCTTTGGATTCCCCTTCACAGAAAGGGGATAATAATATCTGTGGATATTATTATATAAATATAATAATAAACTGTGGAATAATAAATAAACTGTGGAATAATAATAGTAATAATAGTAATAGTAGTAATAGTAGTAATAGTAGTAATAGTAATAACGATAACGATAACGATAATAATGATAATGATAAAGATAATGATAATGATAATAATGATAATAATAATAACAATAATAATAAAGATAATATAATAATGATAATATAATAATGATAATAATGATGATAATGATGATGATGATGATGATGATGATGATGATAATAATAATAATAATAATAATAATAATAATAATAATAATAATAATAATAATAATAATAATAGTAATAATAAACAACTGTGGAATGCAAACCAGGGAGAGATTCCACCCCTGATTTCTTTGCTGGCTTGATAGAGCGGGATCCCTGAAGAAAACCAGTGAACCCCACAAACATCTGCTGGCTCGAATATGAGGAGAAACCTCATCGCTGAGCTAAACCAGGCCGCTCTGGGGGTTTGGGTGACACCACTCGCATCAGCTGCGCTCTTTTCGACACCACCTGTGGCCTCCCCTTGTCCAGGCAGGACAGAAACTGCTCCCCACACCCCGATTTTGGGCTGGAACCAGTTTTAACAGCGTGGTGGTTTGGCATTTAGGAAAAACAAGTGGGAAAGGGCAAGCTCCAGAGCTGTGCCAGGAAACCTGAGTTTCCTGAGCCCTGAGAGCTCTGCCCACCCGGGCCATGGGCTGACAGGGATTTGTATTCCCACCTCTTGATGGGAAACAGAGCTGTGCCAGGAAACCTGAGCTTCCTGAGCCCTGAGAGCTCTGCCCACCCGGGCCATGGGCTGACAGGGATTTGTATTCCCACCTCTTGATGGGAAACAGCATTGGAATCCTTCAGGGACGTTGGAGTGAAGATCAACCCCAGTGCCTACCTGCAGAAAGGAGCAGTCCGTGTCCCTGCTGGCAGCTGTTCTCTGCAGGATTGTTAATTTTTTCCTCAGACTCCCTTTGGACATTTCACTCTTGGCAAGGGCAGCACCCAGGGCTTGAGCCTTCTTCCTCCATTCGAGTTCTCTGTTTTCTCTCTGCTTCAAAGCAGCAGCCATATGCTCCAGCTTTTCCCTCATGGCTTCCCTCTCAGTTTCCCTCCTCATCTGGTTTAGTTCCTTCCTTTGCAAGGAAGTTATGTGCATTAAATTCTTCTTTTCCAGCATTCTCATCTGCTCCCGGTACAGCCTGATTTCCCTCTCCCTCTCTGAGAGGTCGGCAGTCACGCGAGTGAGGTTCCCCTGCAGAGCTTGGGCCTCTTCTGCCTCTTTCTGGAGCATCTCCAGTTTCTTTTCCTGTGCTTCCAGTTTTTCCTTTTTCACTTGGAAGATGGATATGATAGTCCGGAGTTCTTGGAGGGAATGATTCCTGTCCATGGCTGCAATTGCTTGGCTTTCAGAGGCTGTGACTGGTTCTTCCAGGAGCTTGATCTGACGCTCAAGTTCTTCGTTGTTTGCCTGCAGACTGTCCCATTCATGCTCCAAAAGAGGGAGAAAAAAAGAGTCAGTGATTCCATCTCGGTTTGCTTTTCGTAGCAGATCTCAGCACCTGCCGCGGCTCCAGGCACGGGCTGCCCCTCTCTCCCTGCCTCTCGGGGTGCTGCAGATCCTCCCCAGCTCCCTCAGCCTGTCCCAGGCTCCTTTCTGCCCTTCCCTGGCCTCCTGGAGCCCTGCTCAGGTGTTCCTCCGGGGAGGAACGGAGCTCCAGGGGCGGACACCGACAGCTACAGCTTCCAGAAAGCTCCAGCAGGGAGGAAAAGCAGCAGCCTCAGGCCTGGCTGGTTTTGACACGACTGCGACACATTTTCCTCTTTACTCAGAGGAATGCAGTTAGGAAAGTCAAACTGGGGGAAGGTTAAGTTAAACCGCTCCTCAGATATGGCAAAATGCCCCAAATCCACAAAAAAAACGCCCTTCGTGGTGTCTGCCACTCTCACCAGCACATCCTTTCTTTCCTTCTCCACGTGCTCCAGTTTCCTCTGCAAAGATTCCAACTCCTGCTGGAGAGCCACAGCCTCTTCCCTTCTGGCAGCGGCCTCTTCCCTCAGGGCAGCTTCTAGAGAGTTCCTGCCTTCTGCCCTGCGCGTTGCTGCGGCAGGGGAGGGGAAGGGGAAAAGCAAAGCAACACTGATTTCCATCCTGCATCTCTGCCTGGCTGAGCCTGTCAGGCCCTGAACCCACCGGGGCTTCCAAAACTGACAGAAATGAGGGAAAATGGGCAGGAAAAAATAAAAAATAAAAATAACAATACTAACAATACTAAGAAGAAGAAGAGGAGGAGGAGGAGGAGGAGGAGGAGGAGAAGGAGAAGGAGAAGGAGAAGGAGAAGGAGAAGGAGAAGGAGAAGGAGAAGGAGAAGGAGAAGGAGAAGGAGAAGGAGAAGGAGAAGGAGAAGGAGAAGGAGGAGAAGGAGGAGGAGAAGAAGGAGGAGAAGAAGGAGGAGAAGAAGGAGGAGAAGAAGGAGGAGAAGGGCAAGGTTCAGAGTAATATGAAAGTGTGTTTGTTTTTAGGCCTGTGCAGGGTGGGCAGTCAAAAGGAGAAAGGGGAAGCCTGCCCAGCCCTGCTCCAGAGAGACCAAGAGCCTGGAGGCTCTGGATGGCCTGGAGTTTGGAGGAATCAAGCTGAGACATCCAGCTCCTTGGCAGAGACACGGCACCTGAAAGGCACCACCTGTGCAGGTGATCGCTCCTAGCACAGCCAGGTGCGCCGCCAGCCACGGGATCTGCCTCCACAACAAAGCTTTCACTATGGATGAGTCTCCTGCTGGTAGTTTTTCTTCTCTCCCACCTCTGGGCCCTGCGGTTTTGCTCTGCATGGCGTCAGAGATCCCTGCGGATCAGCGATCCCTGCAGAAGACAGGACGGGGTGGGAGAGGAGAAGCTGTACCTTCCTGGCTGTCAGCCAGCTGCTTTTGCAGCTCCTGGTTGCGGGCACTGAAACAGTCCCTCTGAGCCTGTGTCGTGCTCAGCTGCAGCTTCAAGACCCGAATCTTCTTCCTGGCTTTGTTCTGGAAGGGGTGAGAGGAGCAGAATCACCACTGCTGGCACAAAGGGCTGCAAACACAAATAGCCCAGGTGGGAGAGGGCAGCTGGACAGAACTGGGAGATGTGACTGTGATCCTCCTTCCTCCCCCTCTACAAGGACTGCCACCCACCCTGGCACTCTGCTGAGCAGCAGGACGGGATTTCGGGGTGCTCTGGGCACACGTTACCAGATCTTTCTGGGAACACTCCAGCTGCTGCCACAGGTCCTGCAGGGCTGCTGCCGCTCCGTCCACCGCCAGCTCTGTGGGGACATCCCCGGCCTGAGAAGCAGTCAGGCTCACGACATGGCCCTTTTCTGAAAAGAGAAGACATTCTGGTTCAGGATTTAATTCCAGGCTCTCCAAAGGCCTCTTTCTACAGAAGGTGGCAGCACCTTTGTCACTGTCCTAGAAGCCCCCGTGCAGCAGGACCTGTTATCTTGGGTTATAATGCAAGATGTCACTAAAATTATTAATTCCAGCAGTTAAAACCTGCTGGGGCAGTTTTCTTTATCTCTTCCATGATCCATCCCTCAAAACTCTGGGATATTTTATGTTAATAGAATAGTCGTTAAAACCACGTGGGGCAGTTTTCTTTATCTCTTCCATGATCCATCCCTCAAAATTGAGGGATATTTTATGTTAATGGGATAATTGTTAAAACTTGCTGGGGCAGTTTTCTTCATCTCTTCCACCTCAAAACTGGGGGATATTTTATGTTAATGGAATAATTGTTAAAATTTGCTGGGGCAGTTTTCTTTATCTCCATCACCCATCCTCATAACTGGGGGATATTTTATGTTAATGGAATAGTTGTTAAAACCACGTGGGGCAGTTTTCTTTATCCCTTCCATCACCCATTCCTCAAAACTGGGGGATATTTTATGTTAATGGAATAGTTGTTAAAACCACGTGGGGCAGTTTTATTTATCCTCATCACCCATTCCTCAAAACTGGGGGATATTTTATGTTAATGGAATAGTTGTTAAAACCTGCTGGGGCAGTTTTCTTTATCCCTTCCATCACCCATTCCTCAAAACTGGGGGATATTTTATGTTAATGGGATAGTTGTTAAAACTTGCTGGGGCAGTTTTCTTTATCTCTTCCACCTCATAACTGGGGGATATTTTATGTTAATGGAATAATTGTTAAAACTTGCTGGGGCAGTTTTCTTTATCTCTTCCACCTCAAAACTGAGGGATATTTTATGTTAATGGGATAGTTGTTAAAACCACGTGGGGCAGTTTTATTTATCCCTTCCATCACCCATTCCTCATAACTGGGGGATATTTTATGTTAATAGAATAGTTGTTAAAACTTGCTGGGGCAGTTTTCTTTATCCCTTCCATCACCCATCCCTCAAAACTGGGGGATATTTTATGTTAATGGGCCAGCTGTTAAAACCTGCTGGGGCAGTTTTCTTTATCTCTTTCACCTCAAAACTGGGGGATATTTTATGCTAATGGAATAGTTGTTAAAACCACGTGGGGCAGTTTTATTTATCCCATCACCCATCCCTCAAAACTGGGGGATATTTTATGTTAATGGGATAGCTGTTAAAACCTGCTGGGGCAGTTTTCTTTATCTCTTTCACCTCAAAACTGGGGGATATTTTATGCTAATGGAATAGTTGTTAAAACCACGTGGGGC